TGGTAAAAAATGGTAGGCTGAATTTAATTAATAAGGGGGCAAAAAACTAAAGTAAAATGGTAGATTTATTAAATAAAAAAAGTATTGACACGTTATAGCAAAAAAGCTTATTAAAAAAGGCTTTTGAAAGTGCCACGTGACATATTTGTCTTGAATGGTTTTTGGTTTAATTTTTTTTGGTTTGGAACACTGGTATACGAAAATTTACTTGTTCATCCACTAATCCGAATTTAAGCAGAGCAATACCCAATAGGTGCCAAATTTTTCCTTTACGAGTTTTAAAAAACTGCATTATCAAAATTTAAAATCAAAACTTTTGATTAAATTAGAAGAGTCTCTGCCACCTCATCTTGGTTCTGCTTTAATATTTATATATATAGATAGATTATCATGCTCTCATGTTTGAAGTAAGTTTGGATGCATGATTTACGGTCTTGGGATTTGATTTCAGGTGGGGTTTGCTGATCTCAGTTTACTTGTAATTGTTGCTTCATTTTCAAGTTGCAAGTTGAAATTTGCTGAGGTGGGTCTTTTGGGATGTGGGCATGTTAGGTTATTGATTGGGGTCTCTAGTTGCTTCTGAAAGTAGTGCTTGCCAATTATATCATGTTGAAGTAATTTTAAGTTAATGTTAGCCCTGGGTTTAAGCTGGGATTCTTCTTTGGTTTCAGTAATGGTGGTGCTGGAGTTTGCTCCAATGACTTTCTTCAAATGGGTTTTACTGGCTTGCTTTCTTTGTTCATCATTGGGTCTCCAAACATCGGGTCAATCCTGCAACCCAAATGACTTGGTAGCACTAAAAGAATTTGCAGAAAGCCTTACAGATGGGTCCATTATCACAGCTTGGTCTAATGAAGCAATTTGCTGCCAATGGGATGGTGTTTTCTGTGAGAATAAGAGTAGTGGTTCAAATTCTAGTAGAGTAATCATGTTGATTCTGCCCAACAAAGGTCTCAAAGGAACAGTTTCAAGCTCTTTGGGCCGTTTAGATCAGCTGAAATTACTCAATCTATCTTGCAATTGTCTTGAAGGTGGACTGCCCCAGGAACTCTCAAATTTGAAGCAGTTGGAGGTTCTTGATTTGTGCCATAATAAGCTATCAGGACCTGTTTCTGAATCACTTTCTGGTTTGGTATCCATTCAGTCACTGAATATTTCAAGCAATTCATTCAATGGTAGTATCTCTGCACTTAGGGGGTTTCCAAATGTTTCTGTGTTTAACATAAGCAACAATTCATTCACTGGCCAAGTCAGTCCATGGATCTGCAGCTTCTCCAAAGGACTTCGAATTATTGATTTATCAATTAACCATTTAGTGGGCACACTTGAAGGCCTGGGAAGTTGTAGCACATCTCTCCAAGAGTTGCATCTGGGTTACAATTCACTTTCTGGCCATCTTCCAGAGTATTTGTACTCAATGTCATCATTGGAGCAACTGTCAATCCCTGGAAACAATTTCTCAGGCCAATTGAGCGAGAATTTGGGTAGGCTTTCGAGCCTTAAATCCCTGCTTATTTCTGGGAACCAACTTTCTGGTGCAATTCCTGATGTCTTTGGGAACCTGACAAATTTAGAACAATTAGCTGCACACTCAAATTCATTTTCTGGGCACCTGCCTGCATCCCTTGCACTCTGTTCAAAGCTTCAGGTGCTTGATCTTAGAAACAATTCTTTAATTGGTGGTATTGAGCTCAATTTTACTGGAATGCCTAGTCTCTGCGCACTTGATCTTGCCGCTAATCATTTCATTGGACTCCTTCCCAGTTCTCTATCCGATTGTAAAGAATTGAAGACTCTGAACCTAGCTAAGAATGGGCTTTTTGGTTCAATTCCTGAGAGTTTTGCAAAGCTCACATCCCTTTTGTTCTTATCATTCTCAAACAATAGCTTTGTGGGCTTATCTGGATCACTATCTGTGCTGCAGCAGTGCAAGAACCTTACCACCCTTTTCCTGGCAATGAACTTCCATGATGAGGAAATTCCCCAAAATATAAGTGGATTTGAGAATTTAATGATCTTAGCACTTGGAAATTGTGGTCTGAGAGGCAAAATCCCAGATTGGCTGTTGAATAGTAGGAAGATGGGGGTTCTAGATTTGTCATGGAATCAGTTGGATGGCAGTATCCCATCTCGAATTGATCAGATGGAGAACTTGTTTTACTTGGACCTATCAAATAACTACCTTACTGGAGAAATTCCAAAAGGTTTGGCAGAACTGAAGAGTCTCATTTCTTCAAACAGCAGTTTGTCCATCTTTCCACCTTCCGTGGGGATTCCTCTATATGTAAAGCGAAACGAGAGTGCTAGTGGTCTTCAATATAACCAGGCTTCAAGGTTACCACCATCTATATTATTGAGCAATAATCAATTAAATGGGACAATCTTGTCTGAAATTGGACGATTGAAGCAGCTCCACGTCTTAGATTTGAGCAGGAATAACATTACTGGTGTCATTCCTGACTCCATTTCAGAGATGGAGAACTTGGAAACTCTAGATTTATCATTCAATGACCTGTATGGATCAATTCCCCAGTCATTTGACAAGCTCACATTCCTGTCAAAGTTCAGTGTGGCATATAATCACTTAAACGGTGTAATTCCAACTGGGGGACAGTTCTATAGCTTTCCGAGCTCAAGCTTTGAAGGCAACCCTGGACTTTGTGAGAAAATAATCTTTCCTTGTCATGTCGCTGATGGTATGCGGCAGCCGCATGTTCATTATGGTTCAAACAGTAAATTTGGTCGGAACAGTATCCTTGTTGTGACAATTGGCGTAGCAGTTGCGATTTTATTGCTTCTTGCAATTGTTCTGCTTAGAATGTCAAGGAGAATTGCAGGGGATCCTGTTAATGACCTGGATGAGGAACTCAGCAGGCCACGTCGGTGTGAAGCTCTTTGCTCATCAAAATAGATTATCTTCCAGATTGCAAATTGCAAGGAGCTTACAGTAGCAGACTTATTGAAGTCTACAAACAACTTCAACCCAGATGGCACAAAAGCCGCAGTCAAGAGACTTTCTGGGGATTGTGGTCAGATGGAACGTGAGTTCCAGGCTGAAGTGGAAACCCTTTCAAGAGATCAGCACAAAAATCATTATCTAGATGGAAATTTAATGAAGTAGTAATTTTAATTGATATAAATTTTGTTATTTTATTTTTGCTCCTCAACCATTTTAAAAAGATATACTTACAAAATAGAAGAATATGAAAATATTGCATATTATAATGTATATTATTAATTATTCTTGATTTTTAAAAAGTATTATTTTTTAATAAATATTTTTAAAAATTAATTATTAAATTTAATATTTTATTAATATAAATTATGCATAAGGTGACATTAAACAAATATGATTGGACATTAAATGAGTGAAAGCATATTTTATTATGAATGGACCTTTGAATAAAAATTAATTAAATAATGATATATCATATTAAAAATTTATAATATCACTTAATATTGTAATTGTAGTATTTTTATAATAATTACTCTATCCATTCAATTTTAATAAGCCTAATTTTTTAGTCTGATAAATAAAAAGGTAATAATTAATTGATAAAATTATATATATATTTTTAGTAAATTACTATTTAAATAAAACTTTTTATTTTCTCATATATATTATAATTATTTTTAAAAAACAAAATAAACATTAAATGACAACTTACAAAGAGTGATTGACTAAATTTAAATATCTTAAAATAAAAATTAAATTTACTAAAATAAAATAAAAAAAGGTACAGTATAAATTTACAATTTTAAGTAACTTCTTAAATATGGCATTGCTGTTTTCTTAAACATAATTTTATCCCAATGAAATCTCTTTGTTCTGTTATCTGTGATTATTTTATTCAAGTTGAAATGTCACGAGTGGGGTGTTTTCTGGGCCTTACGAGCTAAACAAGAGGATGGGCTTTGCTTTGGAGTCAAGCCCTGAGTAGATTATGGGCTAAAAGAAAAAAGCCCATAGAGTAGATTATGGGTTAAAAGAAAAAGTTGATCTAACTAGAGGAGATTATGGGGCTGCTTGGTGGCCCATCGAGCCAAAATTGTTGCTGGCTTGATTTATTATATACAATTTTCTTTTGTTGCTAAATGAAAAGTAATTATCTTTCATCTTTTATATCACCTCACTCATGTATTATACGAACTCGAATTCATGATTTTTTACTTTTAATAAAAAAAATAATCATTGAGTTTCTTAAATCATTATCATTTATATGCAAACTTTTAGAAAGTCAAAATATAAGTTATTACGAATTGACATGGTTGATTAAAAAGGTTGGATTTTTTTTTCCCAACCAAAAACATGAGAAAGTTTACTTTTTGGGTTCCCAACCAAAAAACATGAGAAAGTTTACTTTTCGAGACCCATAATCAGTTATTTGTAATTGTAATTGATTATAATATTTTTAGTCCTTATATTTTTTGTATAAACACTTAAAATTGTATATTAATATTTTGTGTCAGAATTTGAAAAAAAAAATACAAATAAATGTGTCAATTTTATATTTTTTTATTTAAAAATGTTAATTTTGTTAATTTTTAAATAAAGATATTAACTTTTACTTTCAGTTAAAATCTTGAGTAAGATTCTTTTTTCTCTATTTAAAGATATTAATTTTTTAAATTTTATTAATTTTTAAATAAAAAAAATTAATTTTTAGTTCCAATTAAAATGTTGTATCAAACTCTCTTTTTTTCAGCTAACCACGACTAGTCTAAAAGTATGTTTCAAGATAACCTAAACCAAATGACCCCTAGATCAAAGTACAATAATATGTTAAAGAGGTTTTGTGGAGCCGAATAAGATTTGAATTTGAGATTAGGATTAAATGCTCATGCATGATTGTTATAATTGGTTATACTTTATATAACACTTCTCGTGAAGGTAATGAGGACTACTTGGCTGCGCCTATGACTTTCGGTGGACATGATAATGAGGTGTGTATTTATTCCATCCACAAAATGCTCGTTGAGAAATATGTCGACATTCCTAAAGGGAAGAAAAAGCTTTATCAAATGGCTATCATGCATCGTGCTTGTTGTGGGAAATGCCATCAATTGGGGATTGGATTTTTATTTTTATTTGTGTGTGTGTGTATGCTTATGGAACAAGTTTAATTATTACTCATTTTTGTAAATTGAACGAAAGAGCAACCAAAGTAGCATCATGGGTCTCCACTTAGCCGCTGTCTCTATGGTTCTTTTGTGCCACAAAGGCTGTCCAATTCTTTTGACGTACGTATAGTCCACTAATTATACCACCTTTTCTTCAATGCCTATCCTTAACCATAATAATGTTGAAAATGAAATCATGCTCAAATGCAGTTGCCCACTTAAGAAAAATTAAAACCTTGTCAATCCGGAGATTATTTATTAAATTTAATTTGTGGAGGAGGTGGTGCTTATAAGGATGTCTCACTTTAGAAGTACCATCGAGGTGTACTTTATTCATGTGGAAGTATTAAACTCAAGTTGGTAACTAAAAACAGAGTTCTTTTTAGCAGTCCAATTTGTGTCAAGTTGTAAAAGAAGAAACTAAATCGCTGCCTAATGGAAAATGACTCAATTGTTAGAGTTGCGTAGTTAACTTTTATTGAACCCTATGATATTTTCTTTATCATGCTCTTAGACGTGCATTTAATCTAAAATTAGTTCAAGAAGCTAAGTAAACAAATCAAATCCATAGTAATTTTTAACAATAAATGAAGAATTAGAAAATAAATAAGCAAGTTCAAGAATGGCTATAGCCACTCAATAAGTTGTTAGAGTCACTCAAATTTTTTTAATAGTTAGTTATGATATTTAAAAATATTAATGTGTAGATTAATTTTAATTTATTAAGTAATAAATGTTAACTATTTTATTAATTATTAACTAACAATTATAATTATTAATTTTTTTTAATCATCAAACTGAATAAAATTGATATTTTAAAAGACAAAACTTTAAAATTTAGGTGTTCATAACCATTGCCTAAAAGTCATAGAGAATGCTTTCATGTTGGTTTGCAAAAAATTGGTCATTAATTTTGATAGAGGAAGACCTCTCATTTATTACACCTTTTAAAAAGTAAAAATTAAAATATTTTGACATTTAAAAATTTTTTAAATAATTTTATAAAAAAATTGACATTTTAATTACTAAAACTTCTAAATTTTTTACAATCTCATATTTTTTTACCAATAATTATATAATTATACAGTTCACATCTTATCAAACTACAAAATACACACACTATCCCTTTTAAGTCAATTACTTAGCACACTCAATTCCTTAACTAATCCCAAAATTCAAATTACAATAATATTATGCTAATTTTTCCTTTTTCTTATCTTAAATTATAACCGTTCAATAAAAACCTACAAAATACACTTTTTTAAAGTCAAAAATTAGGAGGGAGAAAAAGAAGAGGAAGGGGAAGTGGGTTGGGTGAGGATCCGATGAGAAGAGGTTGAGTAGTTGACGAGAAAAGACCAAAAATAGGAGAAAATCTTGTGTCTCTTTATTATATTAAATTCCCATTCAATACAAATGGGTTTAGTTTTGGTCAGATATCACTAAGTTAAAGACAGCTGCCCGTGACGTTCGCCTAACGCCGCTCTTTCCACCCGCTACTTCCGGTCAATTTTTTTTATTATCCATACCGTTTTGACAATCACATTAAATTTCAATTCATTTATAATCGAGTTACGTCTATTCTCATTATAAAATTTTTTTTTAAATACTTATTTTTTCATTTATAATATTAAAATTTAAAATTTTATTTAAAACAAACAAAACTTTTTTTCACTTAAACTAAATCGTTGCTGTCAATTTTTCTTTCTTTTCTTCTCTCTTCTTTTTTTTTTTCTCTCTCTCTGCCATCTCATCTTTTGACTCTCTGCTGTCATTACCAGTTCTTTTCTCCACGCGCTCACTCATGACTGCTTCCACGCTCTCTAAATTTATGAATTTCCATTATCTTTTCCCGGCCACCCCCCCCCACCTTTTTTTATTATCGGTGAACACATACCATGATTTTTTTTTAAAAAATAAGGACAATTACCCATTAGAATTATTATTTATTTTTAATAGAGGGTGGAGATTGGAGAGATGAAATCAAATACAATACATTTCAATGGTATTTTCACTCATGAAATAGAGTATTATCACTTCACTTATTGTGTGAAAAATAAATAAATATCATAATTTAACTCTAATTTTGCAATTAAGGATCCACACTTTTTTCTTTTGTTCCCAAATTAACACGTTTATTGTTTTATTTATTATTATTTGTTAATATGAGATCAAAGTTATAAGATTGTTATATCTCTAAGTATGATATAGGCTACTAAGTTTTTTTTTTTATATTACATATTAAAAACTAACATAAAGATGTTGATACAAAAGAATTGTTTGTTACTTTAATGGAATGAAAAAATGACTTTTGTTTTTTACCAATTAGATCTATTATGTTAGTTTCAACTAATAAAAAGAAAATACATTGAGTAAGATTTTAACATATATATATATTAAAATGTGTCACACAAATTTTGTCACTTATTTTAGACTACTAGACACAACTTGGAGTTAAAAAAAAAAAAAAAAAGAACTAGATTGATGATACAATAATTAGTCATTCTGAAAGATAAGTTGTCAGATGAAACGAACTTAAAAGAAAAGTAATTAAGTTTAAGAGCTAATTGACCATTAAAAAACAAAAAACTCAAGGACTAACATGGATACTCTTTACTTTAACATGCATATAATCCTTCAGATATGAACATGATGAAAGGTTGTAACCCATTTAACGTTCCTTTTTTTTTTTCTAAATTTTTTTTATTAGATTAAGATAATTTTATTTTATAATATAAATTATATCAAATTAGACTATAAAATAAAAATTATTAAATAAAAAAATAACTCTTAATAGTAGGGATTCATACTTTATCTAACGATTTAAATTATATAATTTAATTTAATTTAAATTACATAATATTTTTTTTAAAATTAAGTGGTATTTACCAAAAAAGCATATTTGATTTTTATAACAATAATAAGAAATTTAATACTACCCGTACAACTCTAACTAACTGGATCTGATGCAAGAACACGCGCATGAAGTGAGCGTGGGCAAAGAATCCTAGGCAGTACTAGTTGGACCTTTTTTTGTAAGCAGTCCAACCTTATCACGTTTGCCAAATTATTTTCAAGAAAGATGAGAGAAACAAACAAATATAGGTAAGGTATTGACAATCAGAGATTGTAAAATTGCCCAAAAAGTCAGCTGTCGTTTCTTCATTTCAAAGCACTACTGTTGCTGGCTCCCATGGATGCCTCTGTTTTTGTCCAATAATTTAAAATATGGATTCCTTCAACTTCAAACGCCAAAAGAACTTTCCTTGTTTCCTTTTCTGAGTTGGACACCCACATCAGTTTTTTGGTTTGAAAATGGGTGAGAGAGATGGATACGTCTGGTTTTGAAATTGGAGTCGCGGGGTCAGACCCATTTGTAGAAAAATGAGGGCTGTTGAATGTTGATGTTGGGTTTACAGGTGATTCTTGCTTCACTAACAAGTGATGGGGGCTGTTGGGTTAAGTGTTTAAACCGCTAAAGTTTCCTTCTTTATTGTGGGTTTTTCCATTTCCATCTTGGGATCCGACTTTTGTTTAGCAATTCATTTCTTGTTCCAGTTGATTGCGGGTGGAGCAAGTAGGGAAGAGAGCTAGAGTGATCTTGGGATGTGGGTTTGAAGGGCCTTTTATTTTGGGTTTCTCTTTCTTATCTCTAAAAGGGGTAATGTTTCTTCTACATTTTTAGGGTTTTGGGGCTTGATTTTTGGTCTCTGAGGACTTCACTTCAGATCTCAGCTAGCTAATCATCTTGTTGGTGGTGACCAGTGCTCTTCCCTGCTCCTCATTCTCTTTTAGTGGTAAGTCTATTGCTTTACTTTTCAAATTGTTGCTAGCTGTTTTTTTGTGGGTTTGAGGTGTTTTGGGATGTGAGTGTTCGATTTCTTCATTGGGGCGTCTTCTGTATAATGGTTTAAAGGTTTTTGTTTTAATTATCATCCTCTCATGTTTGAAGTAAGTTTGGATGCGTGATTTACGGTCTTGGGATTTGATTTCAGGTGGGAGTTGCTGATTTCAATTTACTTGTAATTGTTGCTTCCTTTTCAAGTTGCAAGTTGAAATTTGCTGAGGTGGGTCTTTTGGGATGTGGGCATGTTAGTTTCTTGATTGGAGTCTCTACTTGCTTCTGAAAAGTATTGCTTGCCAATTGTATCATGTTGAAGTAATTTTAAGGGAGTGTTGGCCTTGGGTTTAAGCTGGGATTCTTCTTTGGTTTCAGTAATGGTGGTGCTGGAGTTTACTCCAATGACTTTCTTCAAATGGGTTTTACTGGCTTGCTTTCTTTGTTCATCATTGGGTCTCCAAACATCGGGTCAATCCTGCAACCCAAATGACTTGGTGGCACTAAAAGAATTTGCAGGAAGCCTTACAGATGGGTCCATTATCACAGCTTGGTCTAATGAATCAATTTGCTGCCATTGGGATGGTGTTTTCTGTGAGAATAAGAGTAGTGGTTCAAATTCTAGTAGAGTAATCATGTTGACTCTGCCCAACAAAGGTCTCAAAGGGACAGTTTCAAGCTCTTTGGGCCGTTTAGATCAGCTGAAATTACTCAATCTATCTTGCAATCGTCTTGAAGGTGGACTGCCCCAGCAACTCTCAAATTTGAAGCAGTTGGAGGTTCTTGATTTGAGCCATAATAAGCTATCAGGGCCTGTTTCAGAATCACTTTCTGGTATGGTATCCATTCAGTCACTGAATATTTCAAGCAATTCATTCAATGGTAGTATCTCTGCACTTAGGGGGTTTCCAAATGTTTCTGTGTTTAACATGAGCAACAATTCATTCACTGGCCAAGTCAGTCCATGGATCTGCAGCTTCTCCAAAGGACTTCAAATTATTGATTTATCAATGAACCATTTAGTGGGCACACTTGAAGGCCTGGGAAGTTGTAGCACATCTCTCCAAGAGTTGCATTTGGGTTACAATTCACTTTCTGGCCATCTTCCAGGGTATTTGTACTCAATGTCATCTTTGGAGCAACTGTCAATCCCTGCAAACAATTTCTCAGGCCAATTGAGCGAGAATTTGGGTAATCTTTCTAGCCTTAAATCCCTTCTTATTTCTGGGAACCGATTTTCTGGTGCAATTCCTGATGTCTTTGGGAACCTGACAAATTTAGAACAGTTAACTGCACACTCAAATTCATTTTCTGGGCCCCTGCCTGCATCGCTTGCACTCTGTTCGAAGCTTCAGATGCTTGATCTTGGAAACAATTCTTTAAATGGTGGTATTGAGCTCAATTTCATTGGAATGACCAGTCTCTGCACACTTGATCTTGCCACTAATCATTTCACTGGATTCCTTCCCAGTTCTCTATCCGTTTGTAAAGAATTGAAAACTCTGAACTTAGCTAAGAATGGGCTTTCTGGTTCAATTCCTGAGAGTTTTGCAAAGCTCACATCCCTTTCGTTCTTATCATTGTCAAACAATAGCTTTGTGGGCTTATCTGGATCACTATCTGTGCTTCAGCAGTGCAAGAACCTTACCACCCTTATCCTGACAAAGAACTTCCATGGCGAGGAAATTCCCCAAAATATAAGTGGGTTTGAGAATTTAATGGTCTTAGCATTTGGAAATTGTGGTCTGAGAGGCAAAATCCCAGATTGGCTGTTGAATTGTAGGAAGATAGGGGTTCTAGATTTGTCATGGAATCAGTTGGATGGCAGTATCCCATCTTGGATTGATCAGATGGAGAACTTGTTTTACTTGGACCTCTCAAATAACTCCCTTACTGGAGAAATTCCAAAAGGTTTGGCAGAACTGAAGAGTCTCGTTTCTTCAAATAGCAGTTTGTCCACCCTTCCACCTTCTGTGGGGATTCCTCTATATGTAAAGCGGAACCGGAGTGCTAGTGGTCTTCCATATAACCAGGCTTCAAGTTTCCCGCCATCTATATTATTGAGCAATAACCGATTAAATGGGACAATCTTGTCTGAAATTGGACGACTGAAGCAGCTCCACATCTTAGATTTGAGCAGGAATAACATTACTGGGGTCATTCCTGACTCCATTTCAGAGATGGAGAACTTGGAAACTCTAGATTTATCATTCAATGACCTGTATGGATCAATTCCCCAGTCATTTGACAAGCTCACATTCCTGTCAAAATTCAGTGTGGCATATAATCACTTACATGGTGTAATTCCAACTGGTGGGCAGTTTTATAGCTTTCCAAGCTCAAGCTTTGAAGGCAACCCTGGACTTTGTGGGAATATAGTCTCTCCTTGTCATATTCCTGACAGTATGCCACAGCCACATGCTCATTATGGTTCAAACAGTAAATTTGGTCGAAGCAGCATTCTTGTTGTGACAATTGGCATAGCAGTTGGGATTTTATTGCTTCTTGCAACTGTTCTGCTTAGAATGTCAAGGAGAATTGCAGGGGATCCTATTAATGATTTGGATGAGGAACTCAGCAGGCCACGCCGGTCTGAAGCTCTTTACTCATCAAAATTGGTTCTCTTCCAGAATGCAAATTGCAAGGAGCTCACAGTAGCAGACTTATTGAAGTCTACAAACAATTTCAACCCAGCAAACATAATTGGCTGTGGTGGTTTCGGACTGGTTTACAAAGCCTACCTTCCAGATGGCACAAAAGCTGCAGTCAAGAGACTTTCTGGGGATTGTGGTCAGATGGAACGTGAGTTCCAAGCTGAAGTGGAGGCCCTTTCAAGAGCTCAGCACAAAAATCTTGTTTCTCTTCAAGGTTACTGTAAGCATGGGAATGATAGATTATTAATTTACTCCTATATGGAGAATGGAAGCTTAGACTACTGGCTACATGAGAGTATTGATGGGTCTTCAGTTCTTAAATGGGATGTAAGACTCAAGATTGCTCAAGGAGCAGCTGGTGGGTTAGCTTACTTGCACAGAGTTTGCGAACCGAACATTGTCCATCGAGATGTAAAATCTAGCAACATCCTTTTGGATGACAAATTCGAAGCTCATTTGGCTGATTTTGGTCTCTCAAGGCTACTTCGGCCTTATGATACTCATGTCACGACAGACTTGGTTGGGACGTTGGGCTATATTCCACCAGAGTACAGTCAGACACTAACGGCAACCTGCAGAGGTGATGTCTATAGCTTTGGGGTTGTTCTGCTTGAGCTACTTACTGGTAGAAGGCCTGTGGAAGTATGCAAGGGAAAGAATTGCAGGGATCTAGTGTCTTGGGTGTTTCAGATGAAGTCTGAAAAAAGGGAAGCAGAGATTGTGGACTCATCTATATGGGACAAGGATCGTGAGAAGCAGCTCCTAGAAATGCTTGAAATTGCCTGTAAATGCTTAGATCAGGATCCAAGGCGGAGACCCTTAATTGAAGAAGTAGCTTTGTGGCTTGATGGTATTGGAAGTGAGGCTCAGCAATGAACTCTCAATTAACATGCTTACTATTTGAATCTCAGGCAGCTGGGAGAATATATTTACCTTTAAAGCAAACACTGTTCAGGTTTCTATAAGGTTGGACGGAGTCCCAACTCCTAACCAAATGACTGTTTCTTTACAGAAACCATCATTTAGTGCTGTACACTGTCAGATAAGTTTTGTATACATATGCTATCTTAGGCATTTATTTACCTGAAATAAGTGTTATAAATTATCTAAATTTTCCATCTGAATAGATGAAATGAAGCATCAAAATGCACAGCAAAGAGAAATCATTACTGATGCTGCTGTATGTTGTGTTTCATTTGCTCGTTCATGTTGGTCTGAAATCGATATATTGTGCATGACTAGAGCATATCTTTCCTGATTATTTGCATGCATTCATCCAATGATTCCTGAAGCAATAAATTCATTGAGCTGGGTAGTCATTTTGTTTGAATTATTATTGTTCAATTCACATAATTTCTCAGCACTGAAGACATGGTATGTTTTTATTTTGCTTTTATCTCCATTCCTTCACCTTATAAGATGTATTAGTACTTTGCAGACAAGCAGAAAGCAAAAGATAGAAGATATTGCATTAGTTATTTTATTACTGTTTGCTTTTACAGTTGGAAAAAGGAAGCTTGAGAAAGAAATCATGTCTTACCAACTCTTTTCTTGTCTGCTAAGATAGGACTAGGTTCAGTTGTCTTATACAAAGAAAAAGTGCTCTTCTTTTTGTCGCTTTTGCTTTCTTTTTCATGTATTGGGGTTGTGGTACTTAGGAGTTGTTATCTGTCAAATGAATGGGTTTGAGACAAGAAGAGCCTCTTTTTGACTTCCTTAGTGTCTACTAAAGAAAATCATGAACTTCATGATTAAGATATGTACGGCCATGAGAAATTTTTTAAGGGCCTGTTTGGTTCATTAGAAACCCGGAATAACTTTTCAAGAAAGTTGTTTAAATTTGGCAGCTTGGCTTGGATTGGGATTTTGGAATTTAGTAGCAAAGTGAATGTAATCAATTATAAATTTGAGAAACTACTTTTCGATTAAAAATTTCGAAAGAAGATCTTTAGGGATATATGATAGATTATATCAAAGTAACTATTTACATTTCTTATGCAAGCGGTTATAATTTCTGAAAATGATTCTTTATCTTTTTTCTTTTTTCTTTTTACCTCTCCTGAGGTCTTTGTTTCATGGACAAAGTCTTGAGCTCTTCTTCAATGGATGGCTTCCTAGGCAAGGCTTTCCACATTCCTAACAAACCAAACATGCCCTTATCATACTCTAAACATGAACATTTAAAAGACCCATGAGAATTGTTTTTTCAAAAAATAATGTGGGCCGTGTTAAAAATAACAATAATAATTACAATGCCAGAGGTGGGGAGCAAAGACTTGTAATTTTTTTATGGTATATAACAAAGACTTGTGGTGAATGAAAACAAAAGGTGGGCCTTATTGTTGAAAATAGTTCCATTAGAAGGGAGGATGAGACTTTTTTTTTCTTTTTTGGTAAAAAGAGTTAGACATTTTTGGACACTGCTTTTTAGATGATGTTGAAATATCAAGGATCAAGATTCCCCTAAAATTGTTCATAATAGAGTCCTAAGAGAGCATCGTCTCAAAGAGTTGTTAGGACTATACCTAATTTAGATTATGTTTCATTTTCACAGAGATTAAGATTTGACTATGAATTATAGTAGGAGTTCCTTTCTTGAACTTTAGATTTCCTTTGTCTCATATATAATTAAATTGAAGTTGTGTTTTAGCCTTTTTTCTTTAAAAGAAAAAAAAACTAATGGCTAAGCCCAGCCCAAGGTGATATTGGATTTGAATACAATAACACCATAAAATCAAAACTTAAACCCAAGCTCAATGTGAATCTGGGCCCGGGGCCGTTGGTATGGCACACAAATGTTTTTTAGGGCCACATACACCAAATTTTTTTTGATCTTATTGATTCTATCAGTTAGGGATGGCAATGGGTCCACTGGACCAGAAAGTCCCTCCCGTCCCTGTCTCCGCATGGTGGGGACAGGGATCTCTGTGGAGATTTTTGATGAAGTAGAGTTTGCCCTCCATGGAGAATGGAGATCCATGAGGAATGAGGATCTCCGTTCTCCATCAATTTATATCAAAATATAAATTTTTTACATATAATTAACAATATTCAATTACAATGAATAAAATTTTAAAAATTCAAGTGCAATTAACTAAAATTATATAAATATAAAATCAAATATAAATTATACAAACATAAATAAAGATAAGTTCAATATAAATAGCTAAACAAAAAGACTTGTTCCAAACATAAATAAATATCAATCCAACATAAATAGCTAAGCCAACATACTTGGGTTAAGTTTAATTTTTATTGGATTGGGTTTGAGTTTGAAATGTATATTATGTATTGCTATAATGGGTTGAATTAAATTTAAAATAAAATTAATTTATATATTTTTTAAATTTTTTGTAGGAATAAGATTCTCATGAGGCTTTGCAGGACAAGGAATTTCCTCATGTAATTTCACAAGGAAAAATGCCCCTCTTCCCTACCCCATAGGAAGGAATATTCCTCTCCACCCCTGTGGTAGAGATCCCCATGAGATCCCACGAGAATCGGGCAAATTGCCACCCCTACTATCAATTAAATGGATTAAAATATTTAGAAATACTAGTAGATATGCAGATTTCAAATTATTAAATAATGATGTTAACTATTTTATTAAGGGATTTGTCTAACCTCAACCCTAAAGACATATGTTAAGAGTAATATACTTTTTTATCATAAATTTATATTAAAAAAATAAAAATTAACACTTAATTTATTAATTGTCTAATTACATTTATCAATTTGAAGCCAACATTAAAATTACTGCTAACTTTTATATTTTTCTATATATATTTATAACAAAAAAATACTTTAAACTTATATTCTAAAAATACAAATTAAAAACATTCTTTTATTAACTATCAATTATCACTTACAACTATCAACTCTTTATGATAGCCAAACCCAACATATCTACAATTTTTTGTATGGTCCTAACAAAAGAGTAAGTAGCCAAAACCATTCCCTACGCTGGAAGATCAACAAGTTACTATCCCTAAAACCCAAGCCCAACAATACTAATCTAGTACGAAAGAGCCCAACAGAAGAAACAGTTTTCCTTTCCAGACCCTCAGAATCTGAAAGATGGAACAAGTGTCGAGCAACCAAAAACAACAGAACGAGTCATCCTCAGAATTCCCGAAACGTGTCCAAAATCCCTGTCTACACGTCTCTTCTTCAACCCGACACCTTTCTTCTCTTCTACGCTATATCTCTCTCTCTCTCTGTGCAAATTGGTGAATAGCTTCTGCAAAACCCTCAAACCAGAACACACCAGATCAAGAAAAATGGAAGCAATTTTCTTGGCAAAAAGAGCTCTGTTCAACGTCCCAAAAATCTTCCCTCAGCGCCCTGCTTGTTATCCCCATTCCACTACAAACATCTCCAGATCATGCTTCTCCACTACTGCCTTTGAACGTGCCGAAGTAATAAGTTTTTTTTTTTTTTTTTTCATTTTCTAGTGTTTTCTTTGATTATTTTGGCAGAGCATTGATGGAATTTGTGTCAGGGGAGTAATGCAGTGGAAGAATCCAGAGGATCGGGAAACAGTAGTATGCCGGTGAGAGAAGGTATGATGGAAGCCCGGCAAAGGGTAGTGGACGCCCCGGACGAGAAGCCGCCTGGAAATACCAGTAGCTTCGCGGCGGATACGGCCAAGGATGGGATTCGTAAGGCGACGGAGATAGCAGAGAATGTGGGGGAGACGGCAAAAGGGACACTGGATGGAGCGTGGAAAGCTGGGAGGGAAGGTCTGCAGGGTATCCGGGAGGCAGTGTCGGATGACCAGATTGAGGAGGACCCGGCTGTGGGGGAGATTGAGAATGTGGAACAGCCTGTTGATACGCAGGAATACAGGGGGATTGAGGAGCTGAAGGGGAAAACAGGAGGGGTTTTGAAGGGTGATGATGATTGAGAAGCCATTAATGGTTGGAGGAGGAAAGTTGCATGGGGACTACAGAAATAAATTATGCTTAATTTCAATGTAATATTATGTTCTTTATTAGTAGTAGTGCTTAAGATTATGCAGCCAAAATATCATATTTCTTAATTAAATTAAATATATTACTAGTAAAAGGGGTAAGTGTTGTTTGTTTTAAATTTTTAGAAAAGATTGTTAGATACTTAGGCTTTTAAAAATTGAAGAGAAAAAAACATCCCAAATTAGATGTTTTAATAATTCTTCGATAAGAAAAAAAACAAAGGCTTAATTTAAAACTGTTAACTTGTAATTGCAATTGTTAGTTTTTTTTTTATTTTTTAATATTTTAAAAATATATATAATATATTTAATATATTTAGTATTTATTTTGATTAATATTATATATATTTTTGTTATATAGAGATTAAGAATTGAATTTTAAATTTATAATTAAAAGTACAAATAATTTTAACATCAAATTATATATTTTACGGTAAATCATAATATTTTTATATATTTTTAAAATAATAAAGACATAAATATCAAAATTTAAAATACCCAAAAACGTTATTAAAAGAAGTCTAAAATAATATATTTTTAAAATAAAAATAATATTATTTTAATCTTTTTTCTACCATGCTCTACTGAAATAGTCTTTCTTTTTAATATTTTAAATATTCGGTCTATAAACATTAATATTTTTATCTTTTAATGTTATATTTTCAAACAAAAATTTTATCACAGTAAAAGTTTAAAATTTCAAATTATTTTAAAATCATAACTCAAAACAAGTCAAAACCGGATCTCACATTTCCAATTTAATGAGAAGTAATTAAATTTATTTAGGTACTTGTCATACAAATTAGAGTTTGGAAATTACTAGCATTGAATTTTCTAGTTCAATAAATCAATCCGAGGGATGGTTAATGGATTTAGGTATGGTAGGCTCCATCCTCACCATGCAATGTGCCTGATGGTTTGTGTCCATCTTAACATTTGAAGAAACAAGTGTTATAGAATCTGATACGCTTGCCTCCATGAATTGATAAATTGTGGAATTGGAAGAATTCCTCAAAAAGGATTGTGATAAGAAAGCAACGGAGGGAAGAACTTAAACTTTGTAGAGTTCAAGTCTTTGAGTTCATATATATATATATATATATATATAAGCTTTTGTAAATGTATTAGGTCAATATAAAAAGTCTGCTCTTAAAATTATTTTAAAAAATTAATTCAATATGTACACCAAGAAAATATCTTAGTGTAAATGTCACAAAAAAATAATTGATACAATGTCCTTTTAAACAGGACTTATGGCCAGTGAATTTAGACGATTCTTCATAACAACTGGTAGAGGTGGGGTTAGGAAAGGACGGGAGAAATGAGGAGAACAAACAGAAGAATCTTAAGTCATCTACAAGGGAACAAAAATGGTGGACCAAAAATCCAATTCAATGTTTGAGAATGATGGGCACTTTTGATGATGAATAGTGAGGTGAGACAAAGGAATAGATCATTTTCGATTATTGATAAGCCATTGTTTGTTTTACACTATAAAAGGAGCCAATTATCCTGAAGAGCGTGGTGAGGTGACATGTTAGGTGGGTTTGATAGAGCCATGAGCCCTAGCAAGGACCACGTTTGCCATGGGTTCCTTGCCCAAAAATATTCATGGTGTGTAGTTGGCAAGCAACCATTTCTAGATCTTTCAATTCTAATTATACGTCTCACATCAACATTTTATTCCCTCATAATCTCTGACAATGAGACTCACTATAATCAAACCCTTTTTCTTGAATTAAGCCTTTTGCTCAATCTAGCATGCACAAGTACATACACATACATTAAAATTTAGGTTTTCTTATAATTTTTTTGTCCCTCATTTCAATCAATTGATAATTGGTACACTAGCCATGTGAAATCCTAGTGATGGGTCGGTGTCATTTGTTTTCATATGGTGTACTATTACCATCAAATCATGTAAGGTGCCAAGGACACTTTGAAAGGCAAGACACATTCATTCATCAATATTGTGGGGGCTGAGCTTAATTATAAAGAAACTTGGGAGTAATTCCATGCACTTTTCCCTTTCTGACTCAAAGCAAATATTGCTTCCAGACTTTCAGAAAGGACAGATGGTAAGAGATAAAAAAAAAGTTAGATAGATAGCACAGGGGAATAATTAAAGTATAGGGACTTCTTGTTGTTAAGTGGCAACAGCTCCATCTGAATGGAGAAAGCATAGGGTACTTCGCTATTGCTAAAGAGCTTTGTCCAACTCAAATAGGGCAGAACTTTTTTTTTTTTTTTTTGGAGTCTTTTTGGTGCTGTACAGTCCATCAAAGGATTTAATGACAATTTTGATCTGTCTTTCTCACCTTCTCTTCCAGCATTACATGTTAGCTTTACAGACATCATGATTTATTCCCAACACTAGCAAATTCAAAATTTTTCCAAAGAAGTTTGGAACAATTTGATAATAACTATTAGATACTATCCTGTCACGAGATATTATTTACTTTAACATATGAATCCCATTTTATTCTCATAGTGATTCTCCATGGGAAAGGGTTCAACCCCTACATATAAGTAGACAATCCAGGGTAATGTCAAATGTACAGAAATGATGATACAACAACGAATTGATCAATTGAAGAGAAAAATGCATCTATATGTACAGGTTCTGTTTGTTTTCCTGGATAAACAGTTTTAACATTGGAGGGTTTTTAAGTCTCACATAGAATAGAAACAAAACAATATTAGATTTAGGAGAAAACTCCATGCTATGACACAATATCACAACAAAATTAAGTTTCTAAATTTACTTTTTTCAAGTTTCAGTCCTTCACCATAGAACATCACACCGACGAAGATGCAGCCACAAACAGGTAACAACAAAAATGCAGCTTGTGGTCCTCTAGTACCTTTTTCCTTCGTCCAATCTTTTTCTTACAATTCTCTTCATTCGCCTTCATGATCACTTCAAGCCCCACAAACTTTGCTTCAGCATTCCATCACCTCCCTCATTATATTAACCTCCTCCTCCTCCTACAATGGATGCAAGGGGTCTTCCAAGAACGAGTGCTTCAAAAGAGAAAATGAATAAGGGTTTCATTGCTGAGGATGATATAGACAATGATATGATGGAGGAAGAAGAAGAGGATTCTCTCAGCAGTGAGGGTTTTGCAGATAATGATAAGAAGAAGAAAATGAATGTCAAGAAAGGGTCAGGTGGTGGTGGGGTGGTGCCAACTTATTGTCAGGTGGAGGGATGCAGGGCGATTTTGACAGATGCAAAGCGATACTACAGGCGCCATAAGGTGTGCGAGGTTCATGCCAAGGCACCGGTTGTGACTGTTGCCGGGCTCAGACAAAGGTTCTGTCAGCAATGCAGCAGGTTTTGGTTTTTGCATCCTTCTTATTTGTTTAGCATTGTGGCAGCTCTTTAAATTGGACTCTGCTGTCAAGCAATGCTTTCAGTTCCCTTTACCTCTTTGTCTTAGATGAAACATGACAATATTATATCCTTCCTAGTTCAATTGCTCCTCTTTTCAACTTTAGTTTTACCATACCAGGTTCCACGAGCTCTCAGAGTTCGATGATGCAAAGAGGAGCTGCCGGAGGCGTCTGGCTGGACACAATGAGAGGCGTAGGAAGAGTTCAGCAGAATCGTCGGCGGAAGGATCACGCAGGCAAGGGATGAGTGCTCAGATTAAGGGAAGCCAGTGGATGAGGCAATCTGATGAAAGAGGCAAAGTACCAACGGCAACACCTGGAAATTCTGCTCCCAAGCATTCCCAGTTAAGATGAAATATCAGATTATCTGCTCTCTCTCTTCTGTCATCCTTTCAACTCATGCACTATTTCCATCATATATATATAGTAATAACTATATCAGGTATAGAAGGTGCCATCTCTATCAGTATTCCAGCTTTCTGCTTGATATAGAGCCTCTTTCTGATAGGCTAATCTCTGGTCTCTTAATGTATCAATGCTTGCACGAATCTGTAGTTTTTGGTTCCTATTGCCAACGAATGATGCATGAAAACCTAGACGGTTATATGGGTCTTTGTTTGGACATTTAGAATGGAAAAAAGGGCATTGTGCCATTTATCAGACTCTAGTCTCATACTGCAAAGTGTATAAAAGTATCATTTTCAATTTGATGTCTAAAACTGGATTAAAAAGAACAAAGAATTGACACAAATTGTTTGCTTCACATCAACCTCAGAGAGGCATTTCATTGAAGTATGGACATATTGCTGGGACTTTTCTTCTTCAAATTTTTATACATAGTTACTTTCTGAAAGACAAAGAAAGTCCTAGAACAGCAGGATATATGGGTTTCCGATAATAATCCGTGCCATTCATGCTTTCCATTGAACATGCAGGGATAAGAACATCATGAATCACCATCTACTGGTTTGAAATTCTCAACTTAAGTAGAAACTTTCCTACTCAATTTTTGTTACGTTAGGCAGGTAGCAGACTTTAATCTGAAGCCAAAATGCATCAAACGGTACTTGCACATCACTTAAAAAGATAGAAAACAAAAGTAGGAGAGGAACTGCATTTAGAATCACTAGAATCACACAACTACAATAGAAATGTCATCTGTGTTCTTCCTATTAAGTGCCTCTTCAGAGTCCAAAGTGCACTGTGCAAGAGTTGAAATCTTAAGTTGAGAGAAGAGTAACCTTCCATAATCCATCACTTGTCATTTGCCAAAATTATGAACTCTGTGTCATCATCTCCACTGCAACTTCAGGCTCTGAACTATGATGTTCCTTCAAGGCTGAAGCTCGTCACCAAATGCCCTTGCCGTTTCCAGCCGCTCATCGACATGAGGAACATCTCCTGAATTCACAACAAAAGTTGCAATCTTAAGGATGAGATTCATAAGAAAAAAAAAACATAAACAAGTAAAAACAAATTGTCTAGGTGCTTCTGATGACAATCAAGGAAAAGCCAAATTCAACATGAAAAGAGTCTTAAAGGGTCATATGGGTCTAAATCTGTTGAGAAAGGGTGTCAACAGTAAATCGTAAATGGGGACTGATAGCATGACAATAGGCATCAACTCCAAATCAATTGACGATAGGTGAATTAGTCCATATTAGGTATAAATCTGCATGTTCCTCTTAATTGATGTGGATTTTCGCACTTAGCATCTGTCACAAACTGTGAACAGTACAGGAAAATCCTACATGCAAATATAGTCTCAACTCCCAGACAAAATCTACACATCATGAAATTCAAGTACATTACTGATTACCCACCATGGCCACAGCGACAAATTAACAAACATATCGTTTCCCTTATGACAAGAACAAATCACAGACCCAGAAATGATGACTGGCGGTTACCCACATGACAAAAATGAGTACTTTTTCAAGAAAAATCAAAAGGGTCTCAAAATAATACCAAGAAAATTGAAGAAACTTGACCAAACGAGCTAAACACACCTTCATATTCTATGGAGGATTTCTTTGCCGCTTATGGCTGTCCTTGAGCTATGCTTTAGTGTATACACACTAAATTGTGTGGAAATTGACACGGTGGCCGTAGAGGGAGGATGGAAGCGGAAAGAGGACAGAAGAAGCGGTGAAGCAGGGCGCCAGGTTCTGCAATTACGCGTTCGTGCCACACCTTTTCAATTACGAACGAACCCAGACCTATTACTTCTTTTAAGACCAGAAGCCTAATGCTATTGGCAAAAAGTATTATGCAATTCACACTGCATAACGTTACTTAGGATCAAAGTAAATTCTTCAATATCAACGATCCTTTCTTTTTTATGTTTTTGAGATTGTTGTGGAGTATTATAGTTGTAATTATGATTGTATTTAATTATAATTGTATTATATTGTAATTGTATTATATTGTAACTGTGATTAAAAATTGTTTTGATGTTTGGTTAT